GCACCCCGTCCGGGGCAGACCGGGCACGCAGAAGAGTGTGCCTGACCCGGAGGTGCAGGGACTGCATCCTGCTTCGCCATTTTAGAACAGGGACATTTCTTCAGTAAAGACTGCCTAAAACCAGCAGAAAGCTCCCCAGAAGCAGAGATGGCCCCTGGAGGAGCCAGAGGGGAGTGGAGAAGTTTCATCCAAAGATGCCAGCCAGTCCGAGCAACACGAGTGTCCCAACGCATACGACAAATTAGAAAACAGACAGTAGGGAGTAGAAGAACCACACGCAACCTAACAACTCCTCAGGAAAGAAGCACACCACAAAAAGAAAACCACTCCCCAGATTGCAACGACAGCAACTTGGAAGAACTTTGAGCCTTCAGAAAGAGAATTTAAAATTGCCATGATTAAAAAGTGATAGAAGTCATAAAGGAAACAATGATCAGAAGAAGAAAGTGAGTCCCTAAGAGGGAAAACAATGGTCAGAAGAATGAAATTGAGTCCCTAAAGAGGGAAGTAAAAGAAATGCAGGAGATCAAAGAATTAATGGAGGAACTAAAGAACTCTGGGAAAGCAATGAAAGCAGAAGATGAAATGGAAGAACGAATAAGTACTCTTGAAGACACAGAAATAAAAAGAACCAAAACAGAAAAGGAAAGAGAAGTACGAAGGAAAAGAATGAAGAAAGACTTCGGGAACTATCTGACTCCATGAGGAAAGGAAATATAAGAGTTATAGGAATTCCAGAAGGAGAGGAGAGAGATGTAGGAACAGAGAAAATATTCCAGGAGATAATTGAAGAGAACTTCCCAAATGCGAAGAAGGAGCTGAAAATTGATATACAAGAAGCAAGAAGAACACCAAACTTCCACGACGAAAGGAAAAATACAGCAAGACACATAATAGTAAAAACTCCAAGAATCCAGGACAAGGAAAATAATGAAGCTGACAAGAGGGAAGAAACAGATAACATTCAAAGGAAAACCAATCAGGCTGACATCAGACTTCTCTGAAGAAACACTACGGGCAAGGAGAGAGTGGAGGGACATAGTCAACAGACTCCAAGAAAACAGATGCCAACCAAGAATACTCTATCCCGCAAAGCTCTCCTTCCTCTATGAAGAAAGAATATGGACCTTCCCAGACAAACAGAAACTCCGGAATTTCATTACGACTAAACCCCCACTCCAAAAATACTACAAGGAGTCCTAAAGCCAGAACCTCAGAGGGACGAATAACAACGAAAGAAGACCAAAAAAAAAAAAAGTTATTAAAAATAATAAAAATAAAATCAAAGGAAAGACAAACAATGGCAAATACAGATGCTAACATATCAATATTAACTCTAAATGTAAATGGACTAAACTCTTCAATAAAAAGACACAGAGTTGCAGCCTGGATTAAGAAACAAAACCCAACCTTTTGCTGTCTCCAGGAAACATTTTAGCTACAAAAGATAAAAATAGGCTCAAAGTTAAAGGATGGAAAACAATCCTACAAGCAAATGGACCAAAAAAAGAAAGCAGGAACAGCTATACTTATATCAGATAAAACAGACTTCAAACTCAAAAAAATAAAAAGAGACCCCAATGGTCACTACATTATGATCAAGGGGACAATACTTCAAGAAGAAATAACACTCATTAACATATACTCACCAAACGAAGGAGCACCAAAAATATATCAGACAACTGTGTCCTCTCTGAAAACAGACATCAGAGAAAACACATACGTAGTGGAGACTTCAACACACCACTATCAAAATGGATAGATCAACAAGACAAAAAATAAGTAAAGAAACTAAAGCTCTAAATAAGGACCTAGAGCATTTGGGCTTAACAGACATCTATAGAACACTAAACCCAAAAAAAACGGAGTACACATTTTTCTCAAGCGCACACGGATCATTCTCCAGGATCATCACATACTGGGGCACAAAGACAAACATCAACAGATACACCAAGATTGAAATCATACCAACCATCTTTTCTGACCACGAAGGCATCAAACTAGAAATAAACCATAAAAAGAAGGCAAGGAACTATTCTACCTCATGGAGATTAAAAACCACACTACTGGAAGACCACTGACTAATGAGGAGATCAAAGAAGAAATTAAAAAATTCTTTGAATTGAATGACAAGGAGGACACCAATATCCTAAATGTATGGGATGCAGCAAAAGCAGTAATAAGAGGAAAATATATAGCAATAGAAGCTCACATCAAGAAACAAGAAAGAACTCAAAGAAACAACCTAATCTCGAAGCTCAAAGATCTAGAAAAAGAACAACAAAAAACCCAAAAACCAGTAGAAGAAAGAAATAATAAAAACCAAAGCAGAAATAAATGAAATTGAAACTAAAAAAAACAATCCAAAAGATCAATGAAACCAAGAGCTGGTTCTTTGAAAAAAAAAATAAAATAGACAAACACCTAGCCAGGCTCACAAAGGAAAAAAGGGAGAAAGCACAAATAAACAGGATCATAAATGAAAAGAGAGAAATCACAACGGACACAGCAGAAATCAAAAGAATAATCAGTAACTACTATGAACAGTTATATGGAAACAAGTTCAACAATCTAGAGGAGATGGACAAATTCCTACAACTCTACAATCACCCAAAGCTAGATAAAGAAGAAATAGAACACCTAAACAGACCAATTACAAGCAGCGAAATTGAAATGGTAATCAAAACCTCCCCAAAAACAAAAGCCCAGGACCTGATGGATTTACAAATGAATTCTACCAAACATTCAGAGACGAATTAGTGCCTATCCTTCACAAACTCTTCCAAAAAATTGAGAAGGAAGGGACAATACCAAACACGTTCTATGAAGCCATAATTACACTAATACCAAAACCGAATAAGGACAACACAAAAAAGGAAAACTACAGGCCAATCTCCCTAATGAACACTGATGCAAAAAATCCTCAATAAAAATTTTAGCTATCAGAATCCAACAATGTATCCATAAGATAATTCACCACGACCAAGTTGGATTCATTCCAGGGACACAAGGATGGTTTAACATCCGAAAATCAATCAACGTTATCCAACACATCAACAAAAAGAAATATAAAAACCATATGATAATATCAATAGATGCTGAGAAAGCTTTCGACAAAGTGCAACACCCATTCATGATAAAAGCCCTTGAAATTCTTGGGATACAAGGAACATACCTCAACATCATAAAAGGCCATCTATGACAAGCCAACAGCCAGTATCATTCTCAATGGTGAAAAGCTGAAAGCAATCCATTAAGATCTGGAACAAGACAAGGATGTCCACTCTCACCACTGCTTTCAATATATATACTGGAAGTCCTAGCCAGAGCAATAAGACAAGAGAAAGACATCCAAGGAATCCAAATAGGAAAAGAAGAAGTCAAACTATCACTATTTGCAGATGATATGATAATATACATAGAGAACCCCAAACTCCACAGAAAACTAATTCAACTCATCAATCAGTTCAGTAAAGTGGCAGGATACAAAATCAACACGCAAAAGTCAGTAGCCTTCCTATACACAAACAATAAATCTGAAGAAGAAGAAATCAAAAAAAACATCTCTTTTATTATCGAACAAAAAATATCAAATATTTGGGAATAAATCTAACAAAAAGGTAAAGGACCTATAAAAAGAAAACTATAAAACACTGTTAAAAGAAATAGAAGAAGACACAAAGAAATGGAAAGACATCCCCTGCTCATGGATTGGAAGAATAAACATTATTAAAATGGCCATCCTACTAAAAGCAATATACAGATTCAATGCTATTCCAATCAAAAATTTCAATGTCATTCTTCAAAGAAATAGAACAATTATTGATGAAATTCATATGGAATCACAAAAAAACCCGAATTGCCAAAGCTCTCCTGAAAAAAGAAAGAAGGGAATGGAGGGCATCACACTCCCAGACTTCAAACTATACTACAAAGCCATAATCATCAAACTGCATGGTATTGGCACAAGAACAGACATACAGACCAATGGAATCAAATAGAAATCCAGAAATAAACCCGCAGATTTATGGTCAACTAATCTTTGACAAAGGAGCAAAGACTATGCATTGGAGCAAAGAAAGTTTGTTCAATAAATGGTGCTGGGAAAACTGGGTCGCTACATGCAAAAGAATGAAGCTTGACCACTACCTCACACCATACACAAAAATCAACTCAAAATGGATTAAAGAACTAGACTTAAGACCTGAAAACATAAAATGCATAGAAGGAAATATAGGCGAAACACTACGTGATTTGCATATCAAAGACATCTTACAGACACATCACCCAAAGCAGTGATAGTGAAGGCAAAAGATAAACAGCTGGGACTACATCAAATTAAAGAGCTTCTGCACAGCAGCAAAAGAGACAATAACAAAAACAAAGAGAAACCCCACCAACTGGGAGAACATTTTTGCACCCAACACTAATGAAAAGGACTGATCACAAAAAATCTGCAAAGAGCTGATGAGACTCAGCAACAACAAAGAAAATAATCCAGTCAAAAAATGGGCAGAAGAGCTAAAAGAAACTTCTCTGAAGAGGAAATGCAAATGGCCAACAGACATATGAAAAAATGTTCAACATCACTTGTAATCAGGGAAATGCAAATCAAAACTACCATGAGATACCATCTCACACCAGTGAGAATGGCACATATTAAAAAAACTAGCAACAACAATGTTGGCGAGGATGTGGAGAAAAAGGAACTCTTGTGCACTGTTGGTGGGAGTGCAAACTGGTCCAACCACTGTGGAGAGCTGTGTGGAGATTTCTGGACCTACTAAACATAGAGCTTCCATATGATCCAGCAATTCCACTCCTAGGTATTTACCCAAAAGGACACAGAAACATCAATTCCAAAGAACACCTGCACCCCTATGTTTATAGCAGCACTGTTTACAATAGCTAAGCTTTGGAAACAACCCAAAAATCCAAAAATAGATGACTGGATCAAGAAGATGTGGTACATATACACCATGGAATATTACTCAGCATTCAAAAAAGATAAACACATGCAATTTGCAGCAACATGGATGGCGTTGGAAGGGATCATGCTCAGCGAAATAAGCCAAAAAGAAAAAGAAAAAGCCGGATGGTCTCACTCATAGCAGGAATCTAGAAACTTAAATAAGGGACCAGGAAAATGAGTAACTATAAGAAAGTGAAAATCAAAATCAACAAAAACTATGAACCAGAGACACTTTTTGGGGGGTGGGGGTGGGGAGGAGGGATTGGGGTCAAATGGGGCGTTGCAATTGTATGGGGGAAATAAAAATAAAATTTATTATTTAAAAAAAAAAAGTGTTGGTCATAATGAATACTGACATTGATTGTGGTGATGATTTCATGGGTGCGTATCTGTGTCAAAACTTATTATAACTTTTTTTTTTTTTTTTTTTTTAAAGATTTATTTTTTATTTATTTATTTATACAGCACTGGGTACAGTCAGAAGCGCGAGAGGGTGAGAGAATTCAACCAGAGCCAGAGAGGGAGCAGAGCAGGCAGAAGGACCGAAGTACACTGCTGAGGGGAACAGCGGGCGGCAGGAGAGGTCTGCGCGCCATGTGGGACCCTCCTCTGGTGGCTGGGGAGCAGCCGGGGATCGAACCGGCGCCGCGGAGGCCCCGGGCAGCCTCGCAACCCAGCGCTCAAACCGCTGCGCCACCAGGGAGGCCCTATTATACACTTTATTTTTTTTTTTTTTTTTTTTTTAAATAGAGGCATGTTTTATTTATTTATTTATTTGTTTTTTGTTTGTTTATACATGCACTTGGTACAGTCAGAAGTGCGGGAGGGTGAGAGAATTCACCAGAGCCAGAGCGGGGAGCAGAGCAGGCAGAAGGACCAAAGTACACTGCTGAGGGGAGCGTGGGCGGCAGGAGAGGTCGCTCGCCATGCGGGACCCTCCTCCGGTGGCCGGGGAGCAGCCGAGGATCGAACGGCGCGGCAGAGGCCGCGGGCAGCTTCGCAACCCAGCGCTCAACCGCTGCGCCACCGGGGAAGCCCTATTATACACTTTAAATGTGTACAATTTATTGTACGTTAATTATACCTCAATAAAATGATTAAAAATTAGCTGACCTCTATGAGGTAAGGAATAGAAAGGTTCTATTGATCTTTATTTTTTTATTATTTTTTTAGGTTATCTAAAATCTTGGTTCTCTTTTATTTTTTTCTTACATTTTTATATCATTTTTCATTTTTATTCTTATTTATTTATTTAAAAAGATTTATTTATTTATTTATTTATACAAGCACTGGGTACAGTCAGAAGCGCAGGAGGGTGAGAGAATTCACCAGAGCCAGAGCAGGGAGCAGAACAGGCAGAAGGACCGAAGTACACTGCTGAGGTCTGCACGCCATGTGGGACCCTCGCCCAGCAGCCGGGGATTGAACCCATGCTGCAGAGCCTGCGGGCAGCTTCGCAATCCAGCGCTCAACCGCTGCGCCATGCGGGAGGCCCTATCATTTTTCACTTTTGCACAATGTATGCAATTTCATCTTGGTTATAGTCCCCATACCATTCCCAACCCCCCCCTTTTTTTTTTGGTTTTTCTTTTTTTTAATATTTTATTTTATATAATTCCTACATCATTTTTCATTTTTGCACAATTTATGCATTTTCATTTTGGTTATATTCCCCATACAATTGCACTGGCCCCTTATTTTGACCCTAGTCCTTCCTCTCCTCCCTCCCTCTGCTGTAGTGTGTTTCTAGTTTCTAGTTGCTTGTTGATTTTGATTTTTACTTTGTATTAATTAGTCTTTATCCTGGTCCCTTATTTAGGTTTTCTAGATTCCTGCTATAGTGAGACCATCTGGTATTTTTCTTTTTCCCTCTGGCTTATTTCGCTGAGCATGATCCCTTCCAGCTCCATCCATGTTGCTGCAAATGGCATGAGTTTATCTTTTTTGATTGCTGAGTAATATTCCATTATGTATATGTACCATGTCTTCTTGATCCAGTCATCTATTTTTGGGCATTTGGGCTGTTTCCATAGCTTAGCTATTATAAATAGAGCTCCTATAATCATAGGGGTGCAGGTGCCCTTTGGAATTAATGTTTCTGTGTCATGGGTAAATACCTAGGAGTGGAATTGCTGGATCATATGGAATCTCTATCTTTAGTAGGTTGAGGAATCGCCACACAGCTCTCCATAATGGTTGGACCAGTTTGCACTTGCACCAGCAGTGCAGGAGAGTTCCATTTTTCTCCACAACCTCGCCAACATTTGTTGTTGCTAGTTTATTTATTTATTTTAAAGATTTATTTATTTATTTATATAAGCATTGGGTACAGTCCGTAGCATGGGAGCGTGAGAGAATTCAACAGAGCCAGAGCAGGGAACAGAACAGACAGACTGACGAAACACACTGCTGAGGGGAGCAGCGGGTGGCAGGAGAGGTCTGTGCGCCATGTGGGATCCTTGCCGCGGCCGGCTGCGGGCAGCTTCTCAGCCCAGCGCTCAACTGCTGCACCACCAGGAGAGGCCCGTTGCTAGTTTTTTTTAATATGTGCCATTCTCGCTGGTGTAAGATGGTATCTCATTGCAGTTTTGATTTGCATTTCCCTGATTACAAGTGATGTTGAACATTTTTTCACATGCCTGTTGGCGATTTGCATTTCCTCTTTGGAGAAGTTTCTTTTTAGTTCTTCTGCCCATTTTTTGACTGGATTATTTTCTTTGTTTTTGTTGAGTCTCAGCTCTTTGTAGATTTTTGCGATCAGTCCCTTATCATTAGTGTTGTGTGCAAAAATTTTCTCCCAGTCCCCACCCCCCTTGTTTTGATCCTTATTTTTTTAAATCAAGTTAACATTGCTTTACAACATTGTATGTGATTCAGAGACATAGGATCACATCTTCTCAGATGCATGTCCTTACATAACATCTACCACCAAGGATGTTTTCCATCATAGTTCATTCTCTTGTTCTCTTTAACAACCATTCAAAGGTATTTACATTTTGAGGAAAAAAGGTTTTCAGGTAGAATTTCAAATTTGTAGTATTTACTTCTAAAAGAAAAGGAAGCCATTTCCCTTTTCCCCCTATCTTCAATGTATATAAGAGAAATGGCAGTTCAAGCTCTCCATACCTTCACTCGAGCTGCAGTGCCGTCCATTCCACGGCTCTGAGTTTCTTTCCGTTTATCTGCAACTTCCCGTTGTTTTTGGAGAGCATCCTTGAGACGCTTATTGGCAGCTGCTGCCTAAATAAAAGCAGTTCATAGTAATGCTGAATTGAAGGGTAACAGAAGAACTTTCTTATTTCCAGCATATTAGTAATGGAAAATGAAAAATCCTATAGGTTTAAGTTCCTATAGGAACCAGTGTATGAGTCTCCATGTACATAATTTTGGTGAATAACTGCTTTAACAGCCTAGGGGAGGTACACATTTCAAGGAAGTACCCACAGACTAAAAGTGTCTGGAAATATCATATATTAATATTACTGTTTTTTTTGGGGGAAAGAAACAAACTCAATTTAAAAAATCCATATTTGAATAGTTCCATTTCCACCAGGTTTTTGTCTGTCCCAGTTTATGACATATAAGCAGGGGATTAAGACTGAGGAATTGTTGGTCAAGATTGGTATCCCTGGTTTCTCAGGACACTGGTTCATTTAAAGGATACTACTTTACCAGCATCTAAACCTAAAGGTTGTCCCAGCAGATTTTCTTACCTCCTCAGTTTTACGTCTGAGCACATTAGACTGTTTCTGGAAGTTTCTTTCAAGTTTGAGCAGTTCATATTGCCTCTTACGGTCCTGAAAAATAAAAAGTCAGACTTTCAATTGCTATTCAGCTAGGGAAAGTAAAACCTCCTAATGTAACTAAACTGTCTTTCAGTCATTATGGAAAACAATATAGAGAGTCCTCACAAAATTGAAAGTAGAACTATCATATGATTCAGCAATCCCACTACTGGGTATATATCCAAAGGAAATGAAGTCAGTATCTCAAAGAGATACTGTGTTCCCATGTTCAATGTAGCATTATTCACAATAACTAAGATATGGAAATAGCCTAAGTGTTCACTGACATATGACAATGGGGAGAAATTCACTGTTAGGTTATTTTGTCATTGTATGAATGTCAGAGATGTATGAGGGTATTGCCTGAGTAAAATGCTATGAGTTTACTACTTTTTTTAAGATTTATTTTATTTATTTATTCATACAAGAGCTGGGTATAGGCCAGAGGTGCGGGGCAGAGGGTGTGAGGGTTTTCACCAGAGACATAGTGGGGAGCAGAACAGGTGGACTGAGTGAAATAACTGCAGAGGGGAGCAGCAGGAGAGACAGGAGTGATCTGCTGTGCCATGTAGGTCAGCTCTCGGCCAGGGATCAAACTCGTGCTGCACAGGCTGCTGATACCTTCATTGTGCTGAGACTTAACCCCTTGCGCCACTAGGGAGACCCGACTTTACTACTTTTATGATGTCATTACACAATAGGAACTTGGGGGTGACCATCATATGTGATTTGATACTAACTAAAATGCCATTATGCAGTGCATGAGTGTGTATTATACTATGGGCTATTATTCAGCCATAAACAAGAAACTTGTAATAACATGGATGAGTCTGGAGGTCATTATGCTAAATGAAATAAATCAGACAGAAAAAAGACAAATGCTGTATGATCTCACATACATACATGTTGAATCTGAAAAAGGTGAACCCATAGAATCAAAGAGTAAACAGTGTGTGGGATTGGGAAAGTGGGGAGAGTCTGGTTAAAGGGTACAAATATTCAGTTATGAGTAAGACTGGAGGATCTACATACATAGCATGGAGACTATAAATAATGCTGTATTGTATTACTGCAATTTGCAAAAACAGCAGATATTAAGTGTTGTCACTACATTGGAGGAAAAAAGGGTAGCTATGTAAGGTGATATGTTGATATTAGGTGTAACATCTTCAAATTTATTCTTCTATTTTAAGATTGTTTTGACTATTCTATATCCCTTGCATTTCTATATGAATTTTAGTTTCAGCTTGTGAATTTCTGAAAATCCAGTTAAAAGTTTGACTGGAATTTTGTTGAATCTGTAGATCAATCTGGGGAGTATTCCATTGATGTTTTCTTCTTTTTAGTGTATAAGCCTTAACCTTCTTTTGTTAAGTTTATTCCTAACTATATTATTTTGCTGATGCTTACTAACAATAAACTTGTTTTCTTAATTTCATCTTCGAATTGTTAGTTGCTACTACATTGAAATACAACTGATTTTTGTATACTGAACTTATATCCTGCAGTCTTGCTGAATGCATGTATCAGTTATGTTTAGCAGATTTGCTAGTATTTTCTACATACAAGAAGATCATGTCATTGGCTAACAGATAGTTTTGCTTCTTCCTTTCCAATCTGGATGCTTTTTATATGTTTTTCTTTCCTAAGTGTCCTACTTAGAATCCCTAGGACAATGCAGAACAGAAGTGGGAAGGACAGCAATCCTTGTATTGTTCGTGATCTTGGAGGAAAGTATTCTATCTTTCACCATTTAAGTATAATGTTAGTTGTGGGTTTTTATAAATTCCCTTTATCCAACTGATGAAGTTTCCCTTTACTCCTGGTTTCTTAAGAGCTTGCCTTGGATTTAGTTTGCTCTTCTTTTATCCCAGTGTCTTAAAGTGGAAGAGTAGTTAGCCTATTGAGATTTATTATATAAATATATATATATATATATATATATATATATATATATATATATTACATCATCCTTCAGTTTTGCACAATGTATGATTTCCCGTGAAATTCCCACCACTAATTTAGCCGTGTACCATCACTATAGTCCCTTGTGCTCTTCCCACTCCTTTCCTGATCTTTCTCCCTACTCCTCCCCTACAGAATATCTCTGGTCTATGGTTGCCTGTTGATTTTTCATTTTTACTTTATTATAGTTATTTATTTATTTATTTTAATTTAAATTTTATTTTAATATTCCCCATACAATTACAACCCCCTTATTTTGACCCCAAGCCCTCCTTTCCCTGCCCCACCCCCATAGAGTGTCTCTTGTTCATAGTTATTTGTTGATTTTGGTATTTTCTTTCTTACAGTTATTCTTTTTCCTGGTCCCCTATTTAGGTTTTCTAGATTCCTGCTATAGTGAGACCATCTGGTATTTTTCTTTTTCTTTCTGGCTTATTTTGCTGAGCATGATCCCTTCCAGCTCCATCCATGTTGCTGCAAATGGCATGAGTTTATCTTTTTTGATTGCTGAGTAATATTCCATTGTGTATATCTACCACATCTTCTTGATCCAGTCATCTATTTTTGGGCATTTGGGTTGTTTCCAAAGCTTAGCTATTGTAAATAATGTTGCTATAATCATAGGGGTGCAGGTGCCCTTTGGAATTAATGTTTCTGTGTCATGGGTAAATACCTAGGAGTGGAATTGCTGGATCATATGGAATCTCTATCTTTAGTAGGTTGAGGAATCTCCATATAGCTCTCCATAATGGTTGGACCAGTTTGCACTCGCACCAGCAGTGCAGGAGAGTTCCTTTTTTCTCCACAACCTCGCCAATATTTATTGTTGCTAGTTTTTTCTAATATGTGCCATTCTCACTGGTGTAAGATGGTAGGTATCTCATTGTAGTTTTGATTTGCATTTCCCTGCTTACAAGTGATGTTGAATATTTTTTCATATGCCTGTTGGCCATTTGCATTTCCTCTTCAGAGAAGTTTCTTTTTAGTTCTTCTGCCCATTTTTTTGACTGGATTATTTTGTTTTTGTTGAATCTCATCAGCTCTTTGTAGATTTTTGGGATCAGTCCTTTATCATTAGTGTTGTGTGCAAAAATTTTCTCCCAGTCAGTGGGGTTTCTCTTTGCTTTGGTTATTGTCTCTTTTGCTGTGCAGAAGCTCTTTAATTTGATATAGTCCCAGCTGTTTATCTTTGCCTTCACTATCACTGCTTTGGGTGATGTATCTGTAAAGATGTTTTTGAGGTGCATGTCATGTAGTGTTTCACCTAAATTTTCCTTCTATGTAGTTTATGGTTTCAGGTTTTATGTCTAGTTCTTTAATCCATTTTTAGTTGGTTTTTGTGCATGGTGTGAGGTAGTAGTCAAGCTTCATTTTTTTGCATGTAGTGACCCAGTTTTCCCAGCACCATTTATTGAACAAACTTTCTTTGCTGGGACTACATCTTTACTATATTTTTGGTGGCATGAATGGATGTGTATTTACAAAAAAAGTTATTATGAAAGACAACTATATATACTAGACATCACAATCTGTGTAGACCAATATCACATCCTCAGACTGAAAAAATTCTGAACAACAGTTTTGAGCCAATTAGAGAGCAGACACATCGGGACTTTGACAGAGTTTAAGATCGTGAAAGTTTAAATAATTATCACTAAGGTGAAGGATTTTCATCAGGTTAACATTACCAACCAACAATAAGCCTTCTATAATTTCCTCAAAAAACAAACAAACAAACAGGACAAGTGTTAAAATGAACCAAAGGCGTTTAGGAATGGGGTGTGCAAAGAGCAAGAAAAAGGGGAAGGATAAATAGTGAAAAGATGGCAAAAACATATTTTCTAATCCTGAGAAAAAGGCATTTTCTTGGAATCTTGCCCCCAAATCTTCCTGGACATTGACAGTTAACAAGATGGTTTCTTGTCTTAAAATTCCATTTCCATTTAACTGGTCTTCGTTTTTAAAATGCATTCGGTCTATTCTATGGTTAACAGGGTTTGTGTTTGTCCTCTGATAAACACTTCATTAAAATTAGGAGGAAGTCCAGAGTTGTAGCTGGCACTAGTTTGAACTGCAGAAGGGTTTTGGTGTTATCTTTACTGTTTTCAGAAACTACAGTGAGTGGAGTGGAAGATTCATAGCCTGAACTGGCATGGGGGGAGGAATCTGACTCTTTAGATGCATGAACGTTCTTCATGTGCTGGCGCGAGAAGCTCAAATGTGTGAACTTATCACACATTTTGTAGATATGTGTCTTGTCTAAGGTGTGCACATGTATATGCTTATTGTGTTCATTGCTATTGGCAAACCATCTGTCACAGCCTTCAAACTCACATTTAAAAGGATTCTCACTGGGGCCTTCCCGGTGGCACAGCAGGTTGAGTGCAGAACTGTGGGGCTGTCAACAGCCTCTGCAGCGCCAGTTTGTTTCCCGGCCAGCCAGGGAGATACCCATATGGCACGGCAGGCCTCTCCTGTCTTGCCCACTGCTCCACTAAGCAGTGTATCCCAGTCAGTCTGCCTGTTCTGCTTCCCACTTTGTCTCTGGTGAATCCTCTCACCCTCCCACGCCTCTGGCCTGTAACCCATATCTTGTATAAATAAATCTTTAGGGCCTCCCCGGTGGTGCAGCACGTTGAGTGCAGCGCTGTGAAGCTGTCCGCAGCCTCTGAGGCACAGGTTCGATTCCTGGCCTTCCAGGGAGATACCCACATGGCGCAGCAGACCTCTCCTGTCTCACCCACTGCTCCCCTCAGCACTCAGCAGCGTTTTTGGTCATCTGCCTCTTCTGCTCCCCGCTCTGTCTCTGGTGAATTCTCTCACCCTCCTGTTCCTCTGGCCTGTACCCCAGCTCTTGTATAAATAAATAAATCTTAAAATAAATACATAAATAAATTAATCTTACACTTTTTCTTCAATATTGGCCGTTACAACTATAAATTTTTCCTATACTACTTTAGCTATATGCTACAAATTTTGGTGTGCTAACCTTTGTTTCATTTATTTTAAAATTTACTCATGATCTAATTAGGACTGTGTTTTTTAAT